AAGGAAAAAGAGTGGGCCCTCTCTCCACCGGCACTTGAGGGTGAAGTCTGAGACATCTGAGACCACAGGCCGGGCAAGGCCCTTTAGGTGCCCAGTGCACACTGTCAGTGGTGTTGGGGGTGTGGGAGGTTCGCATCTGAGCAGGGTTTCCTACTTTGGTTTTGTACCTCTGGCGCGAGCAGGACAAATGCTGCTCGTGGGCCTAACGGGCCTCGTGACACTGGGTGGTTCCAGTAGGGGCCTCATGGGGTCACAGCTTGTTACTAGGCCTCAAGCAGCTCAATTAGGAACTCCCGTAGGCTGTCTGGAGGGAGAGTGACCCATTAGACAAACCAGCTGTGGGTCCCCGGGACCTGGGATGATGGCGCCTGGCGGTCTAATCTTAGGCCTGAAAAAAAATAATAATAATCTTAAGCCTGTCAGAGCCTGTGGCAGTGTGGCCCTCCTTAATGAAGGACACCTCATAATTAAGCCCAACAGGCACTCAGCACCCACTGCCCATGTTCTGGAAGTGCTGTGTGTGAAGCAGTTCCAAGTTTCCTCCTGCGAGCATTTGCTTCAACCCAGAAATGGGACTCATGCTTGACTCTGGTTGGGCGCTCGGTTTTGAGTGGAAGGAAGAACTGGCTAGTAACATGAAGAGACCCAAATAACACCCCAGGCTCCAACATGGCCAGGAGAAAACGAGTTTTGGAAAAGTTTAGATCACAGGTTATACACTCCAGTACCACGAAGTCCAGGCAGGTAGCAAATGATTGGAATCTTCCAGGTATCATGCACTTGGGAGTGGTGGCAACTGGGACAAAATGGAGAGTTTTCCCCCCAACTAAAGATATTCCTGTTCTTCTTTCCTGACTTCCTCCTCTGTTCCTTCCGTCCAACTGGAGCACATCCACGGGCTAGATTGAGCTCGCCGGGCGCCCCTTGGTTTAGAACGGGATTCGCAAAGATGGTCCTCAGACCAGTAGCATTAGCATCGCCTGGGAACCTGTCAGAAGTGTGCATTCGTGGGCCCCACCCCACTCCCACTGAATCAGAAACTTGGGGAAGAAGAGAGCAGCAGTGCCCAACAACTGTGTCTTAAGGCCCTCTTAGTATTTCTGATGCATGTTAAAGTTGGAGCCAGTAGAGTCAGAACTCGTGGTTGAATGGGCCACACTGTCTGATCCAAAATTATAACTTTTTTTCTTGTTGTTTCATCTGTGCATATGTTTATTAAGCACATATACCAGCACTGGGCTCGGCCTCAGGAGTGCAAGAACAAGCCAGCCAGACAGAGGCCTTGCCCGCACGGAGCTCACGCCCAATCCATCGATCCTGTCTTTAATTCTTGCCTCTTGTAGGATGTTTTTGTTTTCTGAAATACCACATATTAGCTCATTTTACCATAACACTTTGGAGAAACAGACAGAACAGAGGTTATTTCTCCCAGATTATAAATGAAGTCACTTTGACCCTGCACAGTTAAAACTCTTTGCCCAAAGTCGCAGTGTTCAGTGGCCCCAGGCGCCCACCTTCCGGTAAGGCGCACTCCACGGCCCAGGCCCACTGAGCGCATGACATGCTCCTGCCGTCTCTGCTCTGCCACTCAGGAGGGGCTCTGGCTGTCATTGCTCTGAAGCACAGGCCTGGCCTCGCTCCATCTTAGCCAAGGACAAATGTCCTCGGATACACACAGTCACCTAATCTCCCTCAGACCTGGGAGCATCTCTTGAATATATTTGAAGACTTGATAAACGTTCAGCCAGGCCGTCAGCTTCTTCTTCAAGTGGATTATATTGAGAATTTCCATCAGCAGCAAATCTTTTGGCTGAAATGAACTGAATATTAACAAAATGAAGAAAATGAAGGAAAACAGCTGGCCTCCTCCTTCTTTACTGCCCCCACCCCTCCTACCACCCGTGTCCCCTTCAGTCTGTGTGGGAGTCAAAGTGTCATGCAACTGGGCCGAGGGAGGAGTGGGTCAGAGCAGCTCCAATAAATAATGCTCCAACCTGGTTCACGTGGCCCTGTCGAGCAAACGCCTCGGAACTCTTGCACTTAACAAATCCCTCCACTTGTGGCTCAGGAGTATAAAGGATGGCTCTGAGTTGACTGTCAAACGCCTGCTCTGATTGGTGGCCCAAGCACGGTGGACACAAAGGAGGAGAGAGCCGGCAAGATTTATGGCACCGTGTGACAGGTTCCCTCCCACAGACCAGAAAAGAGACACAATCTGCTAGAAGTGACTTTTCGAATTATCTGCAGAAAACATTAGTGGATATTTTCCCATCTGCATGCCTCTGGGCCTTATTGAGTCATAAAAAGTAAATGATTTCCCTGAATGCTTTGACAAACCTGATAGTTCCAAGCCATTTTCTAGCTGATGGATTTGCCATTACGCATCAGAGTGTCTCTGAGCATCAAGGTTGCTGGCGAGGAGACCGTCGGCAGCTCGCAGGAGGAAGCCGTGGCCCAGGAAACAAACAAGGGCCAGGCTTGGGTGGTAGAGGAGCTAGAAGGCATGTTAGGAAGGCTTCCCAGAGGAGGTGGCTGGCAAGACCGTCCTTACAGGAGGTGGCAGGCACCGCTTCACAGGGGAGGTATGAGGAGGCAGTTACAAGAGAAAAAGTGAAAACAAGCAACTTGCTCTCTTGCTCTAGGTCAAGGTCAGCAGAGCACAGGAAACATGACCAAAGGCTAAAAATAGGAGGCTACTAACGGCTAAGGACAGCGGACTTGAGCCCTCAAAGATGGGTCTGTAGGACGGTGGAGAAGCCTGCAGCAGTGACCTTGGGGCCAGCTGTCACCAAGATGGGGAGTTGGCCCTGATTCAGAGGGAAGAGCACATTGATCTTTGCTCAACTTCCGCACCTTTTCTGGCAGCTATTTGGTCCTGGAAGAGGTGTGTTCTGTGCCAACTTCCTGAGCCACCCTGGATCTAACAGAACAGGGAGATGGGCCAGTGAGGTGCCTATGCTGCCGCAGGAAGAAGGAAGATAAGATGCTGAAGTGGTCACTGGGTCAAGTCCAGTAGTCATGTTTCCCTCCACCCCTTGTTATCCTGGGCAAACGGAGTCACAGGTCCGACCTTTCCCAGGGGTGACATAAAGTGTGTGCACTCTGCTAGGATTTTAGTCCCCTGGGGCTGGGCAGCTTTCTGAGCACTGCCTGGCCAATCCCCAAGCCCCCCACTCCCCACCCATGGGGATTTGGCATGAGGACAGATGGGGGCCTCCCCTCCTTCCTCTGCAGAGGAGGAGAAGTCGTTGCGAATGCCACTGATTTATGGAAGGTCTGTGAAGGGTCCCAAGAGTGGGGCCTGGCAGCACGGGCACTGGAGCTGAGACAGGTGCCATGGCCAGCCAGACAGCCAGGCTCTCCCTGTGTAGCACCTGCTCTGAGCACCGGTGAGAAAAACAAAACACAGTCCACCTTGTAAGAAAAAGCAGAAACATCAACAAGTACAAGAGGTGGTATACACAATAAAGACAAATGTTAGGTGCAGTGGCTCACACCTGTAATCCTAGCACTTTGGGAAGCTGAGGCAGGAGGATCGCTTGAGCTCAGGAATTGGAGACCAGCCTGAGACCTGGTCTCTACCAAAGACAGAAAAAATTAGTCGGGCATGGTGGTGTGTGTCTATGGTCCCAGCTAGCTATTCAAGAGGCCGAGGCAGGAGGATCGCTTGAGCCCTGGAGTTTGAGGTTGCAGAGAGCTGTGATGACACCACTGCACTCTAGCCTGGGCGATGGAGAGAGACTCTGTCTCAAAAAAAATAAAATAAAATAAAATGACAAATGCTTAGGAGTCAGGGAGCAAAAGAATGATTCGGACAAATGAGGTTCGGCTTCTGCAAGGTGACATCTGTGACAGCTGAGAGGAAGTTATGGACAAGGCCTGGTAAAAGGGCAGGACAGGAGCGTTCAAAACAGATGCATGAAAACAACAGAGCAAACAAGGAAGGGCACGAGCAAAGGCCGGCCCTGACGTCCCCAGTGCAATCCGAGACCCTGCCTGGGCAGGTGCTCTCCGGGTGTTAAATGACAATGGACCAGCTGCGGGAGAGAGGGGTCTTAGGTGAGACCATCAGTAAGCCCAGTTGTAAAGGAAGAAACACACAGAACTAAGGTCTGGGCCCTTTCTCCGGGCAAAGGAGGGATCTGGGAAAGTACAGCACCCTCGTGGCATCTGCGTCCCAGACTCTCCCACAGAAAACTCTCAAGACGCAGATCTCATCCTGTTTACTGTCTGCTCAAGACACCAGTAGTCCCACACATACAGCACGACACCCAAACTCCTCAGTTCTGCCCAATATGGTCCCCACCTCACCACCTCCCTGGTGCACACCCAGATTGTTTTGTAACTCAAACACCCTTCCTATACCCTCCAGCCCCGCCAGTGAGTAGGGGTGTTGCCCACCGCACGATCTGCTCGCTCTGCCCCTGCCTCTTTGCTGGCCTTGAGTGCCTCTGTCTGAAAGGCCCTTCCACCCCTCAGAGCCTCCCATCCTTTAAGGACCATCTGAGACCTCCTCCTCCAAGAAGCCTTCCCACACGCCCACACATCATACCCAGCCAATCTCTTTCTTCCCCTTTGCGTCTCGGTTGTTGCACCCAACACATCCGGCTTGTACTAGAGCTGTTTGTGAACGAGGCTCTCCCCCCACACCAGGTGATGGGGTCCCAGCAGGGAGTTCTGAGGTTTTTCACCCTGTGTTCCCCATGACACCCAACTCAAGGCTTTGCACGTGTAACCGCTAAATAAATGTCTGTGGAATGGGATCGAGCTTGGAAATGGATCTTTCTCAGCATCCTACAGTAGGTAGCCAAGAATCGGAGGATGACTGCCCCCGCCTCCACGCTGGACCTGCTCTGGCTCTGACCAAGGGCAGGCCTGGCCCTGGGACTGGGGCTCCTTTCCCATTTCTTGTCACCTCTTAGCCGTGTTTCCCTCCACCCCACGATTTGGATCATGAATAATTTATGGATGAACTTAAGAGCTTTCTTTTCCATATTTAGGCACAAAATGAGCTGATGAATTCAGGCTTATACCTGGTGCTGCTGCTTCACCTCTACGAGCAGGGGTTTGCAGAACTCATGAGAGTGAACTACAGCCGGGTCGTGCGAGAGAGGGTAAGTCTGGCTGTGACCCAGAGCTGTCCGGCAGCAGCCCTAAAAATCTTGCAGTGTTGTTTATTAGATGTGCAATCTGTTGAGGTCCCCACGGTCACTTAGTAGGATGTGGGATTGTCACTGTTAAGACTAAGATTTAGCAGCTGCTAAGTGTATACGCACTGACCCTCTGGCTGAAAAGTAAGTGATAATCACATAGTTGCTTACTATTACACATGAGTAGTAATTAAATGGTCATGTAAGTAAGTAAGTCTCCAGGGATACTTGCCCCCCAAAATAGAAGCCAGCAAGGATGCCCAGGCTGGGTGTGCGTTATGTGTGGGAGCGCCCGCTGCCCAGGCAGGGTGCATCTGTGAAAAAGAGGGATCTTCCCACAGGACAGCCATTTAAAAAGCAATCAAACCATAAAAGGAGCCCGTCTCCCTGTTTCACTTGGGATCCCAAGGTGTGTTGCGCCAGTGTGTGTACCTGTTGAAGGAGACAGGCTGCCAAGAAATAAAGGTGCTGATGGTGGCACCATTTGTCATTAGAGAAGTGACAATGTATTTACCAGGAATGATCATCTGTAGCTGCCCTTGCTTTAACAAGAGAACCGGGGCCCTCTAGGAAGCCACATGGTGCGGAAAGAGAAGCCCAGCTCTGCAGCTAACTGGATCCTGGCCTAAGCAAAGTCAACCCAGGTGAGGGAGTTGGACTGGCCGACCTCTGAAGTGTCCTAGTGTACTTGGTCATGGTCGAGTCAGCACCTTGAGCCCCAGGGCACTTCCTTCTTCATCAGATGCCTTTCTGCAGCCTGGCCAAGAGGGGACACCTCCCTTACCTGGCTTAGGGTCATGCCAGGGGCCGATATGCTTGCAGTGTTTGGATTCCCAGGACACCCTTGAGGCTTGCATCTTGAACTCTGCTCATGTCAGAAGGTCGAGACTGGAAAGCCGGACAGCGAGGCAGGGGACAGGCCACTGAGGGTACCACAAGGCAGTTTTAGTGACACTCTGCCACCCCACCTATGCACCTCTCCTCCTCTCCACTTTCTTGTCTCCTCTTCCTCCTCTTTTTGACCCAGGCCTGTCCTTCTTTAACTCTCCAGTGGTTTTAATGGTGACAACTCTTCAGAGAAATATATTTAGGAAAAAAAAAAAGAAAGAAAAAAGAGAAGTACAAGAAGCAGGAAATGATCCTTTGTTAACATTTCTGTAACCTCATTTTCATGATTCCACATCTTTTTAATGAACTTTTTATTGTACATTGAACTTCAAAGCACCCAGGGTTGATCAGGTTCCAGATGGCCCCAACGAGAGCCCGTGCAAGCAACATTAGGCACCAGGACTGCAGTGCAAACATGAGACAGCAAACAGGGCAACCCAGTGGATGAGAACCAAGGCCCTAAAGCACTGACTCTAAAGAACCTTCCAGTAAAACTGTCCTGGACAAGTGATAAGTTGCACCATGAACAAGCTGGAAACCAGAACGAAAAGAAAGGACAAGGGGACACTCTTCTTTCACCACAAGCTCACATTTAACTAGAGAAACCCTGAAATAGATCTCAGCCACTTAAACTACCAAGCAATAACCAGTACAAAGGACCAATTAAGAGGCACCCAAAGGAAACTGGGGGCCGACTGGCTTTTGTCAAATTCATACCCTTCTGGATTTGCGTCTCAGTGTAGAATCTTAGGGTAATATTTAGTAAAAGAGAGGCACTAAGTTGGGAGACAGACCCTCCTTCCCTCTCCTTTACCTGCGGGAACTAGGGAACTCACTCATGTCTTGCTTTTTGGTTGTGTCTCATCAAGAGACCCAGTGACCGAATCCTGTGGATGGTGGTCATTTCCTCACTCATTCACCGACTGCCCCGTACCAGGCACCGAGTGGGGACCAGGGAAAGTGGCTACCAGACATGATGCCATGATGTCCCTTTCTTTGAGGAGCTTATGAGGGGACTGGGAGATGTTTTTATACACATTTATAAAAACAGGAAATAATTGGAAAGGAGCACTTGAGCAAGAGAAGCAGGAGACCCAGTGAATTCCTAGAGGCTGTGAAATCGACAGCACAAGATCTTCCCTGACTTTGTTTGTGGTCCCATAAACAGCGTGTCTCCCCAGTGAGATCGTGAGCCATGCGAAGGCAAAGCCAGGCTTTCCACACGTGTCTCTCAGGATGCTGGGCACAGGGCGTCATGGCTGCCTGCCAACCATGTCCCAGGCACTGTGGACACCAGGAGCACTGAGTGATCACAAACGTGCCAAGTGACGGACAAATAAGGACATGGTCTGCGTGGGTTGGGGGCCTTTATTGGCAACTCTGGCATGGAACCCTTGTTTCTCTTGTATCCAGCTAGGTATCTCCGGTACCTAGACAATGCCTGGTACCTAATGGTGCTCAATAACTTTGACGCACGATGAACTAACCACTGCATCAGAACCTACTTCTCCCAGGAGGCGAGTCCTGAGTTATGTCTTGGAGAAAGTGATAGCACAAAATGTGTAGAGAACAGTGTTCTAGGTAAAGGAACACTCCCAAGTTCAAGGTATATTTATTTATTCAAAGATTTTCTGTGAGCCTGCTATGTGCCAGGTTCTAAACTAGGTGCTGGGAACACAAAGATAATTAAGACCCTCCTTGCCTACAAGGGACTTGGAATCTAAGAGAGAACACACCTGTAACCGAGAGCATCCAGATGTGCGCCTGTGTTATGACAGGAAAGATTGGGCAGACGTGGAGGAACATAGAGCAGAGTTAGATGGAATGAGGAGCGGCCCCTCCTCCAGCCAGGCTCTTCAGGGACACACACCAGCGCTGCGCAGGCCTTGCTCTTAATCCAGTCGGGTTGTCCCTTTGCGATCAGTCGTCCCACTGCTTTGGGAGCCTGGTGGCAAAGCTCCTTCCATTATCTCTTGTCAACTGATCAAATGAGGAGATGATGTTTAGACTGGATCTCGGAGAGCTGGGCAGAGGGACAAGGGTGGGGAGGGAAACGCAAAGGCACAGCGACAGGGGGAGACCCGCGTGTTTGGGGAAAGTCCAGGAGCCGTGGCCGGGGAGGGCAGGAAGTGAGCCCGAGGCGCAGGGCAGGAAGGGTTCTGAGTGTCCCTGGAGGCCACGGAGCAGTGTCCAGCCTGGACTCACAGGCCAGGAGATTTGTGTTTTTTTGAGAGAAAACCCAAGCAGACACGTGGATGGTGGGCTGGAGGCGGAAGAAACCAGCTGGGGGCTGTTGCAATGGCTCAGGGTAACAAGGGGCCCATGTGGGAATGTCGGACATGGGACCAACAGATGGACTGGGCACAGGGCAAGGGACAGGCTCAGGGAAGCACTGAATGCTCTTCTTTGCAAGTGCCCAGCAGGTAGCTGGCCTTTTCCCACTTCCGGTGGTCATGGTGGCAGCCTCTCCAGAGAACACAGGAGCCACCAGCCTCACCTGATTTCACCTGCCTCCCCCATCTGATGGGGACACAGGCCAGCCTGTGAGGTGAAGCTAAAAGGACTTGCCTTCCTTCCCCTGCTCCTCTCAGCACCCACAGGGGGCCCTCCATTTTTCAGGGCCTGCTCCCCCAAAGCCCCCTGTCCTGGTCCTGGCCTTCTTCCCAAGGTCCTGTCCCTATCCGATTAGTACAGTGGTCTCCTGGAGTGAGCACCTTCCTCTGTCTCCTGTCCCAGGGGTGCTGTTAATGGGGAACACTTGAGGCTGGGTGGGAGGAAGCGGGCAGCACAGTGGCTGGCCCGAGAGGCAGGCAGGGTCTAGAGGAAGCTCTCAGATCCCACTGGCACCTTCACGGGTGAGGCTGGACGGACTATATCCAGGCTCCTCCCCATTCACATCATTTCTACAAAACCCAAAACTCCTCCCTCAAAGGTCCAAATCTGCCCAAAATATGGGAAGCCCAGGATTGATCCACAGTTAGAAAAACTCCCCTACTCACCAGCTGGAGTCTCCTGGTGGAGCGTGAGTTGGTTAGGTGGATACGGTCACCTGCACAGAACCTACAGGCAGGTGGAGGTCATCTCAGCACCCAGGGAGAACGGAGGCAGTGGCTAGCACAGTCCTGATGTGTCACTTACCAGGAAACCGGGACCTGCTACTCTAGACGAAATTCCATCCTTCCCCTGCCCTCTCTCTCTTTGGCACAGACGGGGCCCAGGGACCACAATTGCCTCCACACTGGCCAGGCAGTTGCCCCAGTAACAGTGTCCAGCACCCCTTGTTTTGCCCCCAGCCTGTCACAAAGCCCCTTTTCTTCCTGGGGAAGAGCACCAGAGCCCACATCCTTACAGCCTGGCACAATGGGCTCCCACGGAGTACACAGTGTTTCTTATTGTGGCATAAAATGCCATAAAGTCAGAACAAAGAGAGAGCCCAGGGCCTTGATGGGTCTGCCGCTTCCTGCCGGGCAGAGAATACAGCTGATTGTTTAAAAGCCAGCGGTGAGGCAAGTGGCCAATTAGCACGGCCTTCACCCCCACAGCCTGTAAATGTGATTCGGGCCATCAGAAGGGGATTCTGCTATTCAGATCAATCGCTGAAAGGAAGCGAGCCATGGTCACACTGCCAAATTTAGAAGCCCTGGAACAGCAGAGGTGACCGGGTTATCACTGCTGCTCTTTAGGTCCAGCTAAGCCCTGAGATGCTGGGCACCGGTGCTGCCCTCACACCCCTGCCTGCTCCCCTTCCCCTCTCAGGTGGTATGAGGGACTCCTAGAACATTCCTGAGGCCAGGAAATTATGTATCTGTTCACAGTTGCACTGGAAAAACAATTCAGTTCTCATTTCTCGTTGTCTTCTTTCTCACAGTTGTCAAGAAATTGTCCACAACCCAGACCAGAAGAAAATGAAAGTAGGTTTGGGGGTCAGCCCTGCCATTTGGAGGGTGTTTGCTGAGTTACTCTTCTTCTGTTACTTTGTTGAACCTAATACCATGGAAGGAAGTAATGACCACCACCCAGAGGCAAAAATAATCCCACAAAGCTTGGGAAACTCTAGCTGCAGCCCTCAGGAAGGTGTCCAAGTACGCTGGAGGCAGAGCAGATAAGAATTTTAATTCATCCTGAAAGCGAGGAAGAGGGCCAGCAAAGGGGAAGAGGGTATCGTCAGATATGAGATAAGGTTTTTTCCTTTGCCTTACTGGGATCACTTCGTGAGCTTTTCAGGATTTTTACTGCCAGGATCTTCTGGGGTTTTCTTTCCCAAACCCTGAAAGGGGGCTGTGTGGCCACTGCCTGCAGCGATCACATTCATTCACACGCTAGTGGCCTCACTCACCTCCAGCCCAATCAGGTAGGTCTGCTGGATTCAGAGGTTGAACAAAGCAAACAGGTCTCCTGAGAAAGGACCCTCAAAGGAGGCAAGATAGCTGTCTCCAAACAGCTTCGAGTAAAGTCTTCTTCCTGTCCCTTATTCCACAGAAAACCCGAGTGGAGAAAATGTGCTTAATTAAAGCAGGAGGGCTCAAAGTCAGACGCAGGAAGAACTTCTCTATCAGTAGGGAGAATAAACATTGCCGTGAATTGAGGGGGATGTGACAGCTGGGTCCCCAGAGGCTCTTCTGGGGAGAAATTTTACAACTTGCCTGTCCTACAAGGTTCAGAACAATGGCTCCCACGTTGGCTTTGCCATCAGAATCACCCAGGCAACTCTCCAAAAATACAGATTCCCGGGCCCCTCCCGGAGATTCCGCTTCAGCCAGCGGGGTGGGGCCCTGGACTCTGCCTCGCCCGCTCAGGGCCCCTGCTGCCGCCGGTCGCGGGATGCTCTGGGGAGCCCCGGTGGTCCTGCCCGCGAGAGATTTTGAACCAGCTCAAAGCTCCGCAGGGTGGGGCCCGGAGTACGACCCCAGAGAAGCCGATTTGCCATTCGGGGCACGCAGTCCTGCGAAGCCGAGATGACGGTTTTCAGCGGCCGGGGGAAGGGCCCTTCCTCCGGCTCACAAAGGAGCCCGTGAAGTCCCAGTCCCGGCGCCACCGCGGGGGTCCGGCCGAGCCCGCCGAGGGCCCCGCGCCCTCTCGAGCGGCCGCCCCGGGCCCGGCCTTGTCGCCTGGGCGGGCCGAGCCGCTGCTCCCGCCTCCGCAGCCGGGAAGGGAGCGGCAGGTCTTTAAAAAACCTTTGTGTGGCGGGCGCACACCCGCCTCCGGGGAAAACGCCCCAGCGCCTCCCGGGTCGCTCCGCGCAGCCACGCGGGTCCTAAGCTCGTCCTCGGTGACAGCCTCGCGCTCCGGAAAGGGCGCGACAGGGAGCCCGGCCCCGGTCCGCAGGACCCGGACAGGACCCGGCTGCGCCCCTCCCCGCCCCCGCCCCGGAGGCGCCCGCGGCTCTTCCCGGCTCCGGGAGACCTGCGGGCCGGGGCGCCCCCTAGTGCCCGAGCGGGCCGTTGCCGCCCGGGCAGGCGCCCCCAGGGCCTGGCGCTGAGGATGGGGAAGGGGAGGCCTGGCCTCCCAGCCCGGGGGCCCAGGGGAGACTGACGTCTCTGTAGGGCCGAAGAGTGTCCCTGGGGTGGTGCTCAAAAAGGAGTCTCCACGGAGGGGAGGGGAGAGAAGGGACCTGCTACCCTCTGCTAGTCGGATGCTGTCCTTCCAGGAGCCGGACGAGCTCTAGGATTCACTCTACCGCCACCCCTCCCCCGGGCTAGTACCTGCCCCAGCGTAGGGGCAGCCAGTTCTCTCCTGGAGGTCCAGGTCCTCTCTGCCTGCCCCCAGACACTGGTGGGCGCAGCCGAGGCAGAGAGCCCAACACAGAGGGACCATCCCGGCGTGCTGGCCAGTCACAGCCCTTGCCTGGCTCCCCGCCATAGCCGTTGTTAAGACAAGGGCCAGGGCAGCCAGAGGTAGAGCCACATGTGTTCAGCCCTCCCCCTTGGCCACACTCTTCTTTGGTCCTGGCAGCCTGGCATGACTCACCTGCTTGGCGGCACTGTGTTAATACAGGTTGCCAGAGCTGAGTCACAGCTGTGACCTGCCTCCCTAGCTCGGTTCAGGTAAACAGGGAGGAAAAAACGCAAAACATCAGGATACACTAGGTGGCACAAAGAGGTGCCAGCCTCTTGATGGCTCTGTGGTGCCCATGCCAGCCTGCTTACCTGCACCTGGGAAGCAAAGCCCCACACAAATGCCACAAGTAGCACCGAGGTAAGAGCAGCTGGGGAGAGTGCCTGGGTGTGTGTGCCTAGGTCTGACAACTTGTCACACAGCTTTGTGACCCAGCCCCCCCTGACAGCTGCTTCCCAGCTGGCACAAATGACTCACCACAGCCAAGACTAAGGCTAGGGGAAGGCAATAATACCACCTGCAGATACTCATACAGATGACAAAACAAGCAGGAACAGGGACAGGCATGAGGGCCCTCAGGCCAAAGATTGGGCCAGACACCTCCGCCAAACACAGGATCAGGCTCCTAGCTTTTGGAGACAGTGCAGGATGGGCGAAGGCACTGGGGCAGCCCATGGGTATGGGGCTTCCTTGGGGCGAAAGGTAGAGCTGAGAGGGTCCAGGTGGGGATGGGGGGACATCGGTTGCTCCTGCTCCCTCCCCTTCTTCAACAGTCAGGAACTTTCTAGGTAGTCAGGGAGCACTCACTCAGCTCAAGGGGAGAAGAAATGTATTGAGAACCAGAGTTTCGTCCAAGAGTAAAGGAGAAGGCTCGACTCCATCTCCTCCGCTCGGGCCCCACGGCCCCTTCGCTCTCCCTCCCTCTCCCCACCTATCACTGTCCCTCTGCCTCCAGCCCTGGCTCTCCGAAAGACTCCTTAAAAACCTAGGTCAACTCCTCCTTCCCTGCCATGCTAGGAAATGGGGTCTGTGTGGGGCGGTACCCTTAGAGGCGGCAAAGGCTCCTCCAGCTGTTCAGCCTGCAGCAGCTGCCGCACCAGCAACGATGTGGGCACGTGGAGACGACCACGATGCTTTTGTTGGGGGGCTTGTGGTCCAGCTGCCCCAGCCCGGCTGGAACCCTCATGGAGCAGTTTGGGGATTTTGTTCCCCACACTGTTCCAGGCACTGTAGCCATGTGTGTGGCTGGCCCCTGGGGCTCGAGCGGGAGGAGGAGGAGCCGCGGCACCATGCCCCCCCATGACAGATCCAGGGCCAGCTGTGGCTCTGCAGCCTGAGAGATCTCCTTGCTTTCCAGATTCTGAGCTGGGAGACGGCAGTGAACGTGTTTCTCAGAGCCGGGTCGTCTAGCAGAGGAGCTGGCCGTGGAGCTCAGCAGAGACCTCTCCACCCAGCCGTCCTTTCTGTGTCCCCTTGTGTCCCCCTCCTTCCTCCTCTTTACTGAAACTGAAACCAGTGTTTTCACAGTTACCATTTTCACCTGTGCCACTCTCTTTTGGGGATCTGGCTTGAGCATCTACGGGCAGCAACAGCGACCAGTCCAGTCCCAGACAGCACAGGTCAGGCAGCCTGGGCCGTTGAGCCCCCAGCAGGCTGCCCTGCTGCTGCCCCTCAGCCCGGAAGCCCAAGGGGACCCAGGAGCCCTGGTGGGCCCAGCGGCCGGGGTCCCACTGCTGAGGGCACCTGTCAGGGCTCACTCCACCCCGAGTGGAATTGAACCATGTGTTCAGTAAACTGACTTTATTCTCCCAGCCTCATTCGTGCTTATTTCACTCTCCTTGGGCAAAGCCTGAGGGTCTCAAGCTCGAGGGAGAGGGAAGCACATCTCACAGCCCCCATCTCACCGCCACTTCTCCTTGCTCCCCCCACCACTGGGGAGGATACATCCTGAGCCCCCGTGGCCTGGCCAAGCTGGATGGTGGCAGCCCCTATAGGTACCCCCTGAGAACCGTGTAATGTGTGGACTCCGCATATCCCTCCTGATTGCATCTTAGGGACCAAAGACCACATCAGGACTTGGGGTGAAAAAAGGCCAGAGAGCGTTAGTGAGAAATGTGTGTGCGTGTGTGTGTGTGCGCGTGTGTGTATGTGTGTGTGTGTGTGTGAGAGAGAGAGAGACAGAAACAAAGACAGAGAAAAAGATAGGTCAAAAAATAATAAAAGATGGAAGGAAAAAACCATGATACGTGCAAAAATGTTATGTGAAGTGCAAGAAGACAGACACAAAAGACTACATATGTGATTGCATTTATATGCAATTTCTAGAAAAGACAAAACTTTTGGGGGGACAGAAGGGAACAGAAAGCAGATCAGTGGTTGCTGGGAGCTAGGAAAGGAGCAGACAGACCTCCGGGGACTGCGGGGGTGATGGAGGTGTCACAGAGCCAGTTTGTGGGAATATTTACACAACTGGATAAATTTGCCAAAGCTCATTGAACTGCACATTTGCCATGGGTGAACTTGATGGCATAACTGTAACGCGTGCCTCTGAATTTTCTGAAAAATGGAGAAAGAGACAGAAAACGGGCCAGAGGGAGGAGGAAGAGAAAAAAAGGTGAAACTGAAATGAAGAGAAAGAGGCGCCTCTCCCTCCTTCCTTTAGGCCCCACCCTTGTCAGCAGAAGCCCTGCTCCCCAGCTCTACCCTTCTCCTGGGGGCCTCGAAGGGTATGATTTTGCTGCAAAGGGGGGCCCTGAGATGAATTATGGTGACAATGGAGAGGCTAGACTTGAATCACCTTAAAATCTGGTCCCACACCTCTGATACGTTCCAGGTAAACAGTGGCGCAACTGTTGAAAGCAAGTAGGTTCGACCGGGCAGCCTAGACCCACACTCACAGATAAGGGCCATTCCAGTGCAAAGTATCTCTGAGATCTAAACAAAATTCCTAAAACCTCAAGTTCCTCCATTCACAAATGTGGCCTTGAGCTCCGTGAGAAAATGGAGCTTTTTAACTGAACTTTAAGGTTGACGGAAGATTTGTCCAGGAGCCAATACTGAGGAACATGTAAGAAGGGACCGTGTGCATCTACAATCGAGTTTTATAGGGAGCCGAATGGAATTTGAGGTGGCTGTGTAAACATCCTGACAGCTCACACCCACAGTTAGATGTGACAGTGTTTGAGGCAGGTACCCTGAGACTGTCACACCTTTATATCAGAAAATCATTAGATTTTAGAAAACTGTACTTTTTCTACAGGAAGTGATTTCAAAGGCTGGACGCAGTAGCTCATGCCTGCAGTCCCAGCATTTTGAGAGGCCAAGGTGGGAAGATTACTTGAGGCCAGGAGTTTGAGACCAGCCTGAGCGACATAGCAAGACCCCTGTCTCTACAAAAAAATTAAACACTAGGCAGGAGTGGTGGCGCACACCTGTAGTCCCAGCTACTCGAGAGGCTGAGGCAGTAGGATTGCTTGAGCCCAGGAGTTTGAGGTTGCTGTGAGCTATGATTGTGCCAGTGCCCTCCAGCCTGAGCAACAGAGCAAAACCCTGTCTCTTAAAAAAAAGGAAAGAAAAGAAAACTATTTCAGGTATTTACACTCAACCAGGAATGCCTCCTATGAGGTCTGGGGTGGGAGAGACGCAGGAGAGCTGGTGACTACCTGAACCATCATTCAACATTGGGCAGTGGAGGGCTCTGCCTGCAAGATGGGGCTTCTCATGGCTTGAGGTGCCAAAAGGCAGTGGCAAAAAGGGATATCTTCACCCTCTCTGGGTAATTGTTGCCAGAATCTACTAGAGGCTGAGCCACAGTGGTGGGACACGGCATCTTTCCTGAAGAGCCAGCATCATGACCTTCAAACATTCATCAAGCATCGGCCAGTTACGTGCCAGGTTGTGATGACACAACATGCATAGTGCCACCCCCTTGGCGCTCAGTCTCATTGGGACAACAGGACATATATAGAATAGTCAAAGGCATCCGAGCCTCTGGGTGCCATTTATAGGGCACTTCCCATGAGCCAGGCCTGGAGATAAGCATTTTACATTTCTCTCTCTTCCTTATAATCAGCCTGCGAGGCAGATTTATAATATTAACCCCATTGTTAATATCCCACAGGAGGAAACCTAACCCCAGGGAGGTTAAGTGACATGCCCATGTTTACAGGTGTAAATGGGTCTGTCAGCCAAGGCCATGCTCCTGATCCCTGTACTCTGCTGCCAGAGACAGAGGGTGACACCCCTCACCAGCTCCAAAGTCAGGGGACTACACACTTGCCAGGGCTAAGGGGTGCAGCAAAGGCACTGGGGGGACAGAAAAGGGCCTTGAAGGATGGTGGAGCCCAGGCAAGCAGAGAGGTGGGGGTGGGGTGCACACAGATGTGGGGTGTGGTGGGAGCAGCTGGCTAGACTGGAGTCACAGGGCAGGGGAGCCGTGGGGGCCTCCAGGCCAGGTCAGGGAGCTGAGAGTCCACATGTGGGCAACAGGGAGCTACCAAAAGCCACCAACGCAGGCTGGTGAGAGTGGGAGAAGCGGGGAGCACTCTATTGCCACAGGGCCTGCAGGTGAGTCAGGTCCTGTTGGGAGGCGAGTATGAGCCTTAAAATAGCCACCACGGTATAAATGTCTAATAGTCAACCGAGCCCCCAGCCCATTTCCGTGCACCGGACTCCACAGCCCTATCCCGGCCCAGGTGATCCAGGCTTCCCTCTCCACTGCCTGGGGAAGGGAGCCGTGGAAGGACACAAAGAGAGGACATTCTTAGCCCTTCAAGCTCAAAATAGGCTTGGAAAACTCCCAGCAGATGCTATGTTGAGACAAAGTTCTTGGGTCTCAAATCCTGACTACAAGATCACAGGGGCTCTCTCCAATCCTCGCTGCCCACCCCACAACACTTTATAGTGCGGGGAGGGCAGAGGAGGGTTGGCATGGCAACTTCTCCTCTTTGTGCCTCAGTTTCCTCATCTGTAAAGCAGGGACAACAGCACCTACCTTGTGGTGCGTCGGGAGGATTGAGTTAGTTCATGTTAAGCAGTTAGAACGGGGCCTGCGCGTGGTAAATACTCAGCAAATGTTTCGTTATCGTTATCAAGGAGATACGGTAGGTCAGAGGCCGCATCCTGAGCCCCCTGCAGCCCAGAATGGGGAAAGCACCCTCCGAGCCTCCAGGTCCCAGAGACATGTAGAAGGGCAGCAAGTCCCTGCATAAGGCCACGGGGACACACCGTGACGGGGACCAGGTAATGCCCCCACTGCAACACCTGGACGCTCCGTAAGACCTCAGAACTAGCAGGTTCCTGGAAATAAAGGAGAAAAGGCCGACTGGACTGGAAAACCTCATCGATCAGGAGTTCCCCGAAATGGCTAAAATTGAAGCTCCGCCATCAGCAGCTGTAAGAAGGTAGTCAAGGCTTTGCACTCCTCAGCGTGCGGCCCTGAACCACACAAGGCCGTCTCAAGCAGGGGAGGCCCGCCCGCTGCTCCCTCTGCTCCTCTCCCCGCCCCTGGTGCCGGCATCGCGCCTGCTGCTCTAGACAGGAAGGATGGAAATTGCCCTTCGAGTGGCGCTGGCTCTGGTGGGAGTGAAGACTGAAGTCTCTGCCTGGGGCCCCTTGGCAGCCCCGGCCCCTAAGATAAAGAGAATCAGGCCAGGCCTGAACATCTGGGCACTTTCATCTCCTGTCGGTCCCCTCACAGACCCTCCTCATTGCCTTGCTGTCCCTCCCCCTTTCCTCCCTTCTCCTGCCTGCCTTCCTCCGGTCTTCCCTCAAAATGCAATTCTTCACCTTGTGCCTGCGACAGACTCAAGCCCTGGCGCTCGAGGCAGCTTGGCCGGGCCCAGGCATCCCCCTTCCAGGAGCACCATATGGTGTGGCTGGTGGCTCCTCACCCCTGCGGCCTCACAGCGCTGCCCACTGGGCCGGGCCAGCTCTGCCAGGACACCTGGAAGGAGGCCATCTCTGGCATGACACAAGAGGTTGGGGGAACACCGTTGTCTGGAGGGCCGCCCCGTTCATTCATGGATTCAGTGAGCGTCACTGAACGTCCAGGTGGCCCGAGCGGGCAGTTTAGCCCTGCAGGTGAAGGTCCGGCCCAGTGCCTGGCGTACGGTGTCCTTTGCCCGGGCCCACCAGGATGGGCCTCAGGGCATCCGCCGCCCAGCAAAGGGCCTGGCACGTAGAGGAGGTGCTTGATGTCTGTTGAAATGAAATGAGCACAAAGGAAGGAGACTCTGCCGCGGCTCCGGCACAACCGGGGCTGGCCTGGAGCCAGAGGGCGAATGGCCAGCGCCCAGAACCTTCTCCTGCCCCTTCAGAGAGCTACAAGAGTGCAGCCCTTCAACAGAGGGGCTTAGAACAAGGTCTCCGGGGAGCCCTCAGGTGCGGGAAGCCACCCAAGGAAAGCAGAG